TGGGAAAAACACATCCTAAATGTTATTTTTAAAATAAATAGTTCTAAAATATGCCATAATATAATCTGAATTTAAATACATAAATACATTGAAAAATATTTATCCCTAAAATATACTGTAAATAACACAGCAAAATAAAAAGTTGTAAAATAACTTTACACCCATAAGCGTACTATGGTTAAGCAACACACACACACTTCTTATCAACTTAAAACGTGTTTAACTACCCTTAAGTTCAGTAAAACATCCTGCTTTATTGGTATTCACTTTTGATAGATTCATGAAGCAAGCACCTTGAATTGTACCATATATCACTCACTATTGGATCTGAACTTGAATTAGACTTAGATTTTCTTAGACAGCTTTGATCTTATAAACCTGTCTTATTTTTCAGGTAAATTTTTGCTGTGCTGGGTCTCCTTGTCTGAATGAGTTTTCTTTGCGTTCACCTAGTGTTTCATTTAAATTAACCAAACTGACTAGTTAGTCGGCCCAATTTTGTTGAGTAAAATGTTTGGATTATACCTCCAGCCACACCACACAATAAAAATGAAGACAACTGTTTGTCCTGTGTCCTGAGACTCCTAGCAGTTGAACAAATTTAATGTAATGAATGCTTTACCAGTCAACTCATCAATGAATACAATTCAATGGGCTAAGTCACTTTGAAATATGTAGGCACAAAACATACAAATACATTTCTTTCTGTATCTCCTCTTCTTGGAAGCTGGCATAATCATTGGAAGCAAGGAGATGGTATGAAAGGTGCGTGCATTCCTCAGCACTAAAGTATTAAGAAACAACACTGGAAAATGATGATGGTAAACACTGTTTGTCTTAAGGAGGTGGATACAGACAAGCGTGGAAAATAATTTATGAACATGAGCGATGAACAAATCAGCAAAACTATTATGATGATTCATGAAACAAGTTCAGCGTGTGACTTAACCTAGAATTCTCAATCTCAAGGTATTATTACCAATGGTAGGAAAATGAGTGGTATTTTGAAAAACAGCGCTCCTAATCTTACTTTTGGAAATAGTGATATATTTCTAGAAAAATATAAACATTATATATATCTAATTGTAAAATTTTAAGTACCTTTAACGATATAGAGTTAGACATTGTGTAATTTTATAAATTGTCTAATTGTGACAATCTCATGCTTTTTATTTGTCTGCCAAACGAGAGTCTGTGTCCTCTCTGAAAGGTAGGATGGTTACTTAGATGTTTTCATATCAATCACTAAAATACGAGGGTAGTACGCAAAGTTACAAACAGTCAATCTGCACATTAACTAGATATATAATATATATATATGTATCCTCTGAAGAAATAAAATTGAAACAGTCAGTAAATCAATGAGTATTTGTGCCTGCTTCATAAAGATACTTAAAATTAGGAAAAAAAACATAAATTAACAAAACAAATAAAACAAATTAACACAAAGTTATTTACAAAAGTTTAAATAAAAGTTCAAAGGCAAGGGTCTGAGTTATTTGTTCACTAAACTGTTCCTAGCCATGTATTTCTACAAGTCTGTTCAGTTCTTTTGAATAAATTGCTTTGAACACCATCTTGTGGACAGAAGGAGGTACATCAGGTTCTCAACAGATGAGAGAGACTGCAGAAAGCTTAACCTTATATAACTTTTAAAACATATTCATAAAAATTACTTTATAAGCCAAGCATTAAATGACAATTTTTACAAACAACATATCTTAAGATAATTACATAAGCTCTACAATATAAGTGACTAAAATTTTAAAGTTTCAATAATGTTATGAAATATAGAAATAAGCATGTGGGGTTACTTTAAAGTCACTGACTGAATTACTTTAGTCACAAGGTGAAAAATTCAAAAGGTTAAGACTGGCTGTGTTTCTGTTGTGGTTAGAAGTCATGGTTAATGTCTCCAGTTGGAAAGAACAATGAACAAACTCATGAATTATTCTTTGTTTTCCAAAGGCCATAAATATTAATTGAAGTCATATCTTACCCTCTGCATAGAAAGACTTCTATCTGAAAGTATTAATTGGGCTTGGGACAAAAAGTAAGACTGGAATTCAAAAACACTCGTATATGGGAAACACAGTTTTGGTATTAATTGTCATCATGGCCCATAATTATTTTGTATTAAACACTTATGTTGTCTGGAGTACAAACAAGAGATATTTCACAGAATCTGATAATTCTTCTCCCTTGCTGTGGACATTACTGGCATCTATGTGAAAGTAAACAAATGTTTTGGAATGAAATAAAATGGTTCAAGAGATTTGGCAGCCACCAAGTTACTTAGAGGAAAATTTCCCACCCTACTTTAGGACACAAATTATCCACTTTCTTTTTATTAGAGGAATTGGGCAACAGCCAAATCTCCACTTCATTTGGTGTTGTGTTAGCTGGACCCAGCATTTCTTGCTGCCCTTTGTTGCACAGTGGACAAAGCTGAAGCAAGAAAAAGTATTTGAGGGTAAATAATACATAGGGTAAAAGAGGCTAGAACCATGTGGATACCGTACTGTTTCTCTAATTATGTCAGATTTAGTCATAAGTCACAGTTACAAAAAAATGAGTTTGAATCATTGTGACAGTTCCACTCTGTAATATGCACCATATAACATTATATTACCCCTCCCTCTTCTCAAATTACCTGAATAAATCCAAATCCTTGAAACAAGAATAAACCAAACGCTAATATAATTCAGAAAAAGAAAGATTCCTAACTATACAATTTGTAAGAAAGGATGCATGACATATTCTGTACAATGAAAATGAACAGAATTTATAAAACAAGAAAATAAATTGCATGTTTTTATGTCTATGAAAAGATCAACTCAAAGAAAACAAAAAATACACTGATCACCATCAGCAAAGGAGTTCATGAAAACATTAAAATGATAAAACAAATATTTCTGAATTAGCAAGGAGGCAAAAGGATAAACAACCTATTAAGTAACATGAAAAAATAATCTTTGAAACATAAGATGTTTAGCTGTATGACAAATTCAAGTAAATTAATATGATGGCAGGTAAGTTGTAAGCTTTCAGAAAATTCAACAAATTAAAAGCTCAAGATATACACATAGCACCAAATTTTAGATCTATGTACACTTTTTTGGGATAAATTATCATTTTACTAAAAAAATACGTATATTCCAATTGTGTAAGTTTAAAACACAGCACCGTTATAGGTATTGCACAGGAAAGAAAATGAAGAAGAAAATCAATTCAAAGTTAAAAACACTTAAAATAAATAAATAACCTTGGAAAATAAAATAAATAAACTTGGAATTGAAATGTACAGCATAATTCAGTATGAAATAACTAAAAGGTTATATGTATGCACAGCCATGTAGATAGTACCTGACCAGCAGTTCACTCATCTAATATAAAAACCAGTTTGAATCATGGGTGCATTTGAACGAACCCTGCCTTAATTTAGGCATGCTCCCCAGACATAACTCTGTTCACAGCTTTTTCCAATTTCAGAGGGCTCGTCTTTCTAAACTCATTTTTTCATTGACAGACCAAAGCAATCATCCCGTCCTGTCTAAACCAAATTGGAATCTGCACTGATTGTTGAAGAGGTGTGAACTCCTGATTTCTGTGACAGGAAGGCTCTGATGGCATGTTTAGCATCCGTGGGATCCACAACCTAGATTTCAGCAACATCCTCATGCCCAATATTCTAGAAAGTCAATTGTTTTCAACCACAGTTTCTCAAAATAACGTACAGTGAGGCAATAGAAATACTGTCTAGTAATTCAGTTGATGATCACTGTATTTTTGTTTCCTTTCAGAGGACATGGTTTTGCAGTGAGTGTTAACTTTTTGGTCTGAGTGCTAGTCACATATTTGGGCCCAGGGTTTTCCTTTGCTGATCTCCACCTCTTGCTGAAGCTTCTGGAGAAACATTCTCTTTAAGAGCGTTGAGGCTTAATATGCAGTTGCTGACACCACACTTTCATCTTCTAGGGGAAGTTGGTTTCTTTTCCAGTTGCTACAATTAAATTCTTTGTTCTGATGGCCGGTTCTTCCTAAAGTCTGAGGTCTGAAGGATAATGGATACAGGGGCCCAGAGATCTTGCTAGGCCTTTTAAGCTTCAAGAGTACCAATGACAGCTTGGTGTCTTCACCACCTGTCAACACCTTCTAAGGAAAGGAGCTTTCTTTTTATCAAGTGAGAAACCTAGTAAAGGGACCAGAAATGGCTCGGCTTTTCTTGTGGAACTCTTATACAATTGAAATTCACTCCTCCCTTTTCATGCAGTACGTATTCACACTGGTGGTGATTGCTTTGAATTGAGCTCGTTATACAGAATTAACAAAATCATTTCGGTAGTTGGCTATGGTGGGTTTTTGGGCTCCCTGATAAAATAGTCTCCTGTGTTTTTTTCCAAAGCATAAGTTATAAAGTGAAGTTCTTATTGCCTATCTATTTTTCTGAATAAGTAGGATAGATGTAGGATGGTATAAGAATTCTTAAGTTATAAAAAGTAGTCAAAAATCATTCTACAGGAGCAATGCACTATATAAAAAAAAGTTGACAAAATTTTTAGCAATGATAGCATATTTAAACAACAAGAAAACTTCAAGATAAGCCTGAAACTTAAAAATTCAGGAATCAAAGGCCAACCACATGTTGATGAGTCTACAAAATGTACATAATCATCAGTCTACTAAATCATGAGATGTAATTTCCTTTTGAAGAAGAACTAATGATAAAATTTGCTTGCATATTTCATATAAAACTCTGAATAAAAATTATAGAAATGGTAAAGCAAAACATATGGAATGAATTTGGAAAAAAATCTAAAAATGCTGATTTGCAATTACTATAGGAATAGGATTCAAATTGTTGCTTTTAATGTCTGGCCTATACCAAAGGAAAAAAAGAAAGAAAAGAAAAAGGGGGGAAAAAAAGAAAAGAAAAGAAAAGAAAAGAAAAGAAAAGAAAAGCAGCCCACATATCACGAGAGTTTGACAGTATTAAGATAGCTCCAATGGCAAGGAGGTATCACCAGGAACCAAATCTTCCCTAGATGTGTTCATTTCCCACCTGTCCGTTGCTGGGCATGAGACAAAGGATAAAGGCAGTCTTCTGGGTTACATCTTCCACTGGGTCCTGGGGGGCCCTGAGGCCCTGGGGCACCAGGTGAGCCTGGCAAACCCAGAGCTAATGAAATAAAAGATCCTATCAGAATGCAGATCACATATGGCCCTCCCACCCTCCATCCAACAAACATGAATCATTCATCTTGATATACAAGGGCCACAGGGGAGAAGGTATTATTCCTTTTCTTAGAGGCTTGCTTGTGTTGTGAAGATAATATCACTAATACCTGAAGTCCCAGGAAGACCCGGACTACCTGGCAGCCCAATACCAGGTTCACCTCTTTCTCCCTTCTGTCCTCGGTAGCCTAAATGAGAGAAAAGAGAGACATAAAAATGAGTGTCTTATGGCAACGCAGCACGTACAAGAACTGTTTTCTAAGTCTATGATGTTTTTGTTATTCCTTCAGTTAACATAAATAGTATATTAGCTATTTGTTTTTCATTAACCACATATTAAACTTATAAATCAAATAGATTTAGAACAATAATGCAATTGAGACAGGATGGGACCACGCCTGTGAACCACACTGACTCCATTTTCCCTGCAGGAGACATTCTGTTACAAGGTAGCTTACTTTTCTACTCCTTAGACATGGGTTCTGCAGAGCTCATGATTACTCCTTGGCCCTGGTAAAAATAACTAAAGAAAAATCAGTTGTTCTTGCAGAAACAAATAAGAAGGAAATGGTATTTGCTGAGCTACAAAACCCCAGTCCCAAGGCTTGTTAAAGTGTAACTGCTACTTTTGTTTAAACCATATCATTATGTACCCATTTTTTCTTTTCCCATAACTGTACAGATTAAGTTACAGATTAACATTAAGACCCCTTTAGGAGTTACATGCAAGATGCTCCTGGAACCCTCCTCCCTTGCAACCACTGTAAAAATACCAGAAATCATCAAAGCAAGATGCTGACATCAATTAAGGAACTGCTTACCTTTAAAAACCTTTCCCCAACTTTCCTTGGAGAGACAGCTTCTCTATTGCTGCTCCCTTTGCATAAGCTTTCCTTCTTTTAATTAAGCATTATTTGCTCAACACGCTATTGGGTTCATTGCTTATTTCTATAATATTGAGACCCAAGAACCTGGTTCAGTATCACAACAAGGATCTTAAAAATATGCAACTACTATAAAAAGTTCCAACCCATCAAACTCCTGATAGTGAAATTTCTGGCACTGAAAATAATCCCTTAATAACTCATATCAATCATTCACATCTTTTTTCAAACAGCTATGACAAGTGTGTGACTCCTCTTCAATAGCAATTCTGACTAGAGGCTAGGTACAGGATAAATAAAAGAAGTGTATTGAAGGAATCCTGCTTAATATGAGGACAAAATAATATGATAAAAATCTGACCTTTATCCACGAATTGGAAGGAAAGGAACAAACAATTCATGATTTCAATAAATGCCAGTGAGAATATATGTGAGCTAACTCATCTCAAGAGTCAGGTATTTGTTCAAATTATTGACTATAACAATATTATATCTTTCAAAGTAAAGTGTAAACAGCAACCGCATGTTTTAATGTGGCAGTTTATAACTCCAAAAGACCAGGAGCTTCTACAATGCAAGAAAATAAAAGGAGATTGAGGGATTTTCCCAAATGTACTTCATCAACTCAAGATAATTCAGCCAAAATGAATTAGACCTAATTTATGTGTACATTTTAAGATAAAATGATTCTGCCTCTTGAATATGCTTGTTGTTGCCTGAGCTAGAATATTACAGAGCAATCTGTGCCCTCGGAAACTCTTATTTCTGCTTTCAAAAAGCAAAAAACAATTTTACCTTTTTTTACATATTGGAATCCATGTAATACTCTATTTGAAGAAAAAGTTCTGTGCTATAAGAGTTTCACAGTGATGGTAAATAGACTTTTCATTTCCAACCTTTTCATACTTAAACAGCAACTTAAAGATTACCCCTGGTCCCAAATGAATAGAGCAGTCATGTGGAATCATACAGACACACAGCAAAGATCTAAATAAAAGAGCATCTCAGTAGAAAACAGTAGGCCCTAACATAGTTGTGCCTTTTCATGAAGGTGTATTACTACAGCAGAAAATGACAGGAGGAGAAAATTTAATGCTTCCTGTGGACAGTATGTGTGATAAATTATTTCCCGTTATTGTTGAGAATTAGATATCAGTTTTAGGGTTACCAACCTCAGTTTTGTCTTGGCCATACAGTGCATGCATTATGTCTAAATAACATTAGACATGTAATCACCACATAGTTATTTATTTGCTTTGGAGGTGTGACCCTACCACAAATATGAAAATAATGGAAAAAAGGATATGTGCTAAGGAAATATTTTGAAGTATATATTGGAAATACTTCTAACAGGAAGACTTCACACACTTTCACCTGAAAACTATGTTAAAGACATTCAAAACAAAAGGTGATAGATATTCAAATTTAAAATATTTTCAGGATATCTTTGATATTAATGACTTTCATTGAACATATGTGAACAACAAGGAAAAATGTTTATACTTAGGGTCAAAAGCATCCTTCCAAATCCATTATTTAAACATTTCTGGGGTAAAATAACATTTATTAGCTGAGGTATTTTTTATAGTTCAACCCAAGTCTCACCATTACAGACAGATGATCCTTCCAAATCCATTATTTAAACATTTCTGGGGTAAAATAACATTTATTAGCTGAGGTATATTTTATAGTTCAACCCAAGTCTCACCATTACAGACAGATTGTTAAGTAGACCTTCAAGCTATTTCAGTAAATACTTAAGATCATAGGTTAAAAAAATGAGGAACAATGAAAAATAACTAAAGATATATGAACTTTGGATTAACAGGACTGTAACACAATTCCAAATGAAGACTATATCTGCTAAACTCTACATATTTAATTTATTTAAATTCAATTCTCAGATTTTAATATAATACCAAAATATATTATTCCACATGATTTCAGTATATATGGTATCACAAAACGGGAAACAATAACTAGTCTATTTGTATAATGAGGTAATATTTACCCTTCTCCTGTCAAATGTAACAAGTTCTTTATACAAATTTCTCAGTTCATTAGGTTAATAACTACCTGTTATTAATAGATAAAGCCATTGAATTGCACAAACAGAGAAGAGCTTCCTACTCTTGAATATCCAAATAAGGTCTCAAGCTCATTCGTTATGAAAGCTGCCATAAAGCCATAAGGTCTTATTTTATAATTGCTTCATAACAAAACTTCAGATAGGAATGCTAACAAAGTCAAAGACAACTTTTCCCATTTCTAGAATTAAGCTTTTCACTCCTTTAGGGTAGGCCTCTCTTTAAATTTGGAAAAGGCTGGTCTATCTGCAAACAGACACATATTTCCATAGACTGTAAGTATACAAGATGACTGTTTGAAATCACTGTAGCTTATGCAGGAAAACAGAAATAAAACAACAGCAGTGTCCTAATCTAAGAACTTATTTTGATGAATCAGTCATTGATGAAACTTGGTGCTTGGTGTAGTTTTTCAGGAGGTAAACTGTATTTATTGCCAGTAGAGAGATTTGAGTTTCAACTCCAGAGATTTAGTTCTAAAGTTGTAAATATGTGTATCTATATGCATACTGGACTGATGAGGCCAGAAAAGTGGTGCTGTTGGCATTTTGGGAGGAACAGTTCTTCATATGGGGGTCCTGCTCCATGCCTTACAAGTTGTTTGGTCTCCCTGGTTCTGGTCCACTAACTGGCAGCAGCACCCTTCAGTCATTCTGACCCACACGCACATGCCCTCCCATTTCCACCGGCCCCTGCTGCTAACAAATGCACAAGGTCAAGTCTATACCAGTCACATGAACTACCCTACGGGTCACTAGCTTACAAATAACAGGTTTTCCGTTTTTTATAAACCAGTAACAGCTAAACTTCAAAAGTTTAAAAACAAGGACCTCCCCCAACACTGTCCCAACACTGTCCTTTTAAAACTGACAGAGGTCACACATCTGGTTTTCCCTGGACTAACCCTACATATGGGTTTTTTTTTCTGAAATGAATGGGGTTTTCAAGTGTGGCATCTATTCCTCAGGGTTTCACAGAGATGGAGAATCAGCTCCATTTGCAAAAAGTTTAAATGAAGTTCTTTCTCATAAAGCTCACCCAAGAGGATAAAGTCTGTTAGGAAAATTTCCCTGTCCTATTTATGTAGGGGGAACTATATAAGCTGCATTCTACTTCTTGGGGCTTCTTTGATCCCCATGTGGCAATTATCACTCACCCCTGAGCACCAGCAATGAGGTCCTGTGCTGCAGACCGGAGGTGGGAAGGAAGAACACAAAGGAAAGTCTCTTATGTACAGTGGGAAGGTGACAATCAGAACCCCATGGAATGGCTAAAATTTAAAATGTCCTAGGGATGCTTTTGAATTTAAGAGACATCTACTATCACCCGTGTGAGAATTTAGGAAAAAATGCAAGCGAGATGACCCAACATGGAATCATAAAGGTCTCTATTCTCACTTTAGGAAGATCAGGATGCCGAGAGCAGATCCACGGGTTTTCATTATCAGAATCTTGGAACTGGCTTTTCAGTGTGGATTGTGTACATCTAACAGCCTCACATCAATTTTCTCATTGCTTTCTACATGCCTCCTGCTTCTCAGAATAAGCACAGGAAACAACAAGACCACTTTAAGTTTTCGGGCTTCCCTAAAGATAATAATAAAAGACTCATCCCATAGTGCATATTTCAAATCACACCGCTTCATTTTAAATGAAATGGATTTCTTTCCTGACAAACACTGAAAAAACCATGTCTCTTAGAAATTTCAGGAGAGTCATCATCAAACAGAATTAACAAATGAGCAGAATACGCTGCATCATTCCCAGCAGCCACATCTCCTTTCCCTTTCTGTGTGACATTTCTCACTTCGACCCTTTCTCATGCCCAATTGTGCTGTGTCACAAAGAGGACTAACTCAGCCAACAGCATCTGAGGTTCTGATGGTCACTAAGGTAGCCATTTTATATGTATTACGTTCTGTCTTTTTTGAAAAAAACTTTTAAACTGAGCAAAGCAAATCTTTGAAGTTACATGCATAACTTCATCTCAGCACTTCGTACCTATTGATCTACCAGAGAAAAACCCTTCAATTCCTGTTGTCTCCTGGACAGACACTAAAAATCAAATGGCAGCCCCTTGTTTTCTTTTTTCTTTTTTGCAGGGGGAGGGAGAAGATTTCTCTGTGCCTTTAGACAGTATTATCAGTGCAGCATGACTATAGGCAAAACTTTCTTAAAAATGAATCTCACTTTTTCAAGCTTTATTTTTCTGCTGCAGTTCTGGCAAATTTAACAAATATTGAAAAGGTGGTACCATGCAAAGATTAAGGAGACAATTTCTAAATTCTAGTCAAGATATGTCTGTTGTCAGAAACCCTATCATGGGACAAAAGTTTTGTCAATTTCAGTAAACCTTGGTTTACAAAAAATTGGAAATCATATGGGGAAAACTTCCAAATTTAAGAATTTCATTCAAAAGCCTTATCAGGAGTAGAAGTAGTCTAAAATATCTTCTAGGCAGAACAGCTGATAAAATCCATAGAAATTGTTTGCAAAAGGGAGAGTTAATGGACTGGTGCACAGAGGTCTTATTTCTAAAAGCTTTACTGCTTCTGTTGACTTAGAATTGTCTCTGACCAAGAGCCTTCTATGGGCCTTCCCCACACCTGTGAGGGGGCCCAGAGCCAGATGTTTGTGTGGAACAGGTGACTACAGTTCCAGAGCTATTTTCTCTGATCATTTCAATTTTCCATTGTTCTTGTGTTCTCCGACCGGTAGTGTTTGAAGCATCTGTCTAAAGTGTACACACAGGAGGCTACACCTGCGTCTACTCTTTTCTCTTTCCTTCAACTGTCTGCCAAACTTTCCTATGATCTAAGAGAAAGGTCAAATATACTATTTAGTTTAAGAAATCTAGGGTGATTTTACTGTTGTTGTTTTACCCTGCGCTAGCTAAACCAAAGGATGTGTCAATCATGATCATAGTGAGGATCTCAGCAGACCACTGTAATTGGGGACTGAACAGTTGTTGCTTTTTTCAGAAGACGGAGAGAGCATTAATCACCTTGAGACATTTCCTACAGTAAACAAGGCTCAATTTTACAGAATAGCAGTAGGAAAGAAAATGAACTGGTGAGAGAAAAACAATTCCCTCTACCTATAGTATTTTCGCTTGTATTCCTACTTAATTTTGGTGTTAATGTCCGCTTTTCTCCTTTGTACAAGCTTATGTCAAGGAGGGCACTTGAACTCCTCCACGGGAGCACATAAAAAGCAGATTCCCTGGTCTTATCTTTCATGGCGTGTACTCACTGGATTTAATATTTCCTTGTCAGGGTAGTGAATCTTCTCAGCCTGGGCCTATTAGGCCACTTTGCTGATTGCTAACTATATTTCTAGAAAATAGCCTGGCCAGATTAATTTAGATCTATTTAAGATCAGGTTTCTTAAGTTGTCATCACCAGAACAAAATTTTTTGCCAATATAAGTTAACTTTTAAAAACTTTAGAAATGATATGAGGAATTCTTTAAAGATTAGAAGTTACCCATCAGAAGCTCTATTAGAAGTAGAAGGATTCTGAAATTCTCAAAACATATTTTAGACCCAAATGACTATTTGTAGTAGCATCTCCTAAGACTCTTTCCTCAGTTTCTATAAGATACTAAGATGATGAATCTTATTGTCTAATTTACACCAAAAGGAAGACATAAAAAGCACTCTATGATTGCTAGATAATAATAACATAAAAGCACACATTATTGCTGTTATTGTTATAATAACCATTATTATGAAAATACATTTAGAGTACCAGGTAATCATCAGTCAGTTTTAAATTTTAAGTAGCAATTGTTACTAACATCTGCTTCTAGAATATCAAATATTAACAAGATATTCTATATAAAATTATTTTTTAATTTTATATATAAATACTGATAGTTAAAAATACTAACAGTTAAATACTGACAGTTAAAAAACTTATAAACAAATATTATCTTTGAAGACTTACCTTGAGGTCCAGGGTCTCCTGGTGGCCCAGGTAACCCATCCTTTCCTGGTGGACCAGGCCTCCCATGAGCTTGAGCAGCCAACATTGCTGCTGGTAGCTTGAGCTGGGATAGGAACACTGCCATCCTCTCTTCATTTATGAAGGGAAAAATAATATATCATGTCATGGAAATTTTTTTCATGTTGAAATTAAAAAAATTTTTTACATGAAATTAAACAAAAAAAGATTTAGTTTTCAATTTAAGCACATCTAATTTACCAACCATTCTGACAGTTGAGCTTTTTTGATTAGAGAAATAAAATTGCACAGAGTTGTTTGTTTATTGATGCAGACCAGCTGTGTCACTCAGAGGGTCTCAGCATTTTCAGTGCTTCTGAGATGTAGGTGTCTAGTGGACAGAACACTATCCTACAATCTAATTAAACTCTAGTAGTGACTTGAGGAGAGAATTAGGTTCACACTATAAATTGGTTTCAATAATAAGTTTAAACCACTTTGCAGCAATGTTGTGAATGTATGTGTGGTGATTTAAAATATGTCCACAAATTCTTTGACATTCCCAAAGTTGGGGCTTAATTCCCCTATTTTTGAGTGAGGTCTGGACTTACTTTCTCATTTCTAATAAATAGAAAAAGAGCAGAATTGACAGTGTGCAACTAGAGAGATTTAAAAGACACTGTTGCTTCCTAGTTGCTCTCTTGTAGACTGCTCACTCTGCAGAAAGCCGGCTGCCATGGAGTGAGAACACTCAAGGCTACATGGGGAGAAATGGATGTCACCAGCTACCAGCCATGTGAATGAACTTGGAAGCAGATCAGCCAGCTCCAGTCCAGCCTTCAAATAACTGCAGCCCTGAATGACATTCTGCCTGCAACTTCATTGTAGATCCAGAACCAGAACCACACAACTTAGCCAGACCTCAAGTCCCTGACCCATAAAAAATGTGCATTAATAAATGTTTGTTGTTTTAAGCCACTTAAGTTTAGAGGTATTTTTTTATACAGCAATAGGTAACTCATGGAGTATGTAACATGTGTTGTCCTTGAACAAAACTGTATTAATAGATTTATTGAATAGATGGTTATTGGCTCTATATTCACTGTGTTTTCACTGTTTAAACTCAATAGTGGGCAAATATCATGCTTTGTCAACAACTGACTTTTACTTTTTAAAGAAAATGTCTTATTATACACCCTTCACATGATTCATTTTTTTCTTGCTGGATTTCCAGTTAGTGAGTATTTCAGGTTTTAGTAGGAAGGATGTCTAATTTGGCCAGAAAAAAAAGTTCGGTGTTGGTACAGATGAGTATCCTCTCTCTGAATTCCTATTGTAGACAGCATGAAAAGAACAAAATCTTCTATGCATTTCTGTAAACCTGATGAAAACACTGAAGCTAAAAACACACAAGTTATAGAAAATTGATAAATTATCCAGGGCATTTAAGTATGTTGATAAATAAAACAAAATCTTTGTAAGCATTGAGCCATGAACCTTCGTGAATTTAATACTTCCTAAATAAGCAATGATGTCTGCTCAAGGAATATATTATTGTCATTCGCCCTTTTATTCATTCGCCAAACTGCCTGGAGCCTAACACTGTTCATCTGGGTCCTAAAGAAAGTATTGAGAGAGGAAAGAAAGGATTAATTAAAGGTACTTCCTCAAGGTCAGCTCAGTCATTAGGCCAAGAAAGTACCTTCATAGCTGGCATAAAGGCATGCAACTATTAATAGTTTACTTAAAGACATTAATAAGTTACCATGCTTTTAGATGAAAGTGAGTGTACATTGTAGAAAGTTGGAATATTAATAACTCATGAAATTTAAAGAATCTGGAAAAATGAGGAATTTCAAAGAATGTAAATATGAAAATACAGGTAAGAATTTTCACTCTAAAGTAAATTTTTAAACAATATATTTTATGAACTAAATTAGTTAAATATTCTTTGTAAGCAGGATCCTGCATTGGAGATTTTATGCTTTTTGCATTTAAGTGCTCTTGTTTAGAAATCATGGAGAGATTATCATTTAAATAAGAGCTATTATCCATGTTTTTATAAAGTCTGTATACTATAAGACTAACTGCCGATATGCTTTAATGGACTAGAAATAGTATGACATCATAGAGAAAGAACCTGTTATACAATATAATTACAAAATATTCCTTCTCAGAATTGCTTTTTTAAATAATCACTCTAGGATTACACTTTTGAATTCTTGGTTATTAATGCTACACAAGTGTTGTTCAGTTAAATCATACCTCTAAAGCATGTTCAATATATTACTCCTATATGGAATTAATTTTGATAAATTCATTAATTCATTCAAGGTCCATTATAAATACAACCTATCACTGGACTCTTTATTTAAATTTGCTTGATTTGTTTACATTTTGTATATCTCATATTTAAAAAATCTAATATATGAATGACTAGGTTTTAAATAGAGAATTGGAGGAGGGAATATACTTGCTATGACAAAAAAAATTAACCACACTGTTTTCTTTTTTTTTTCTTTTCACATAATTTCTTCAAAAAACAAATTCTCTTAGTCATTCAAATGATCCCATTTATAAAATGAACACAAATTTTTCAAGGATACATGTAGTGTGTAGTAAGAAATAATTTTTTAATGTAAAAAATTTAGCCTGGGTTTGGGGCAGACAAATCTTCCAAAAAAGTTTCTTACTGATGAAATTAGTGTTTATTTTATAAGACCAAACGACAGCAACACACTAGAAAGTACACTTGTCACTTAGAAAGAACAAAGGGCAAATTGTAACGACCTTGTAAAGAGTTACTTCAATTTTCTCCAGTCTTTCCACTCAATTCAGTTCATTTAGTTGAACAGGAAAGGCCTGTTTCACTTGAAGGGATATGTATGCTTTATTAATTTTTTATGAAGAGTAAATTACTTCTGAGTAAAACCTGTTTTCATGTGGGCTTTTAATAAAAAAATTATTTAAAAACAATGAAGGCCCTTACACTATTTAAGAAAGTAGAATTATTAAGGGAAAAGCCTCAACTGATGTGGAGCATTAGGGATAATTACGCAAAGAGTAATCACCCTACACTCACATTCTTAAGTAGCAAAGCAAGCGGAATGGAAACACAGCACAACATCCACAGGATCGGAGCCTCTGGCGGGAGACCCAATAATGATGGGGAACCGATGGGGACTGATGGATGCTGGTTCAAATGGGCAATGTTGACTCGCCTGCCTTGCAGTCAAGCTTTTACTGCCTGACTACCTACCTGGGACATGGTTGGTTGATGCTAATACATTTTATTCCAGTAACTTAATAGATAAATATGTAATTAATATACAATTATAGTTTTGTGAATCATCTTGAATATAAATGTAATATCTTTTTCATTTACATTTCATTTTTCCTTTACATTTTTGAATACAGATGTAATATTTTTAAAATTATATTTAATATTAAGTATGATTTAATATTAAACTATAAATTGGATGTTTTATAATAAATATTAAATTCAATGATCACAGTTGGAAACTTTGCTTAATATTTGTTGTTTTGCACTTTCAAAAGATATATATTTCAGTACAATTTTTCTTAATTTGGAACTTCTCTTTGAATACCTTCAATATCTAAATATGAATGTTCACAGTACTATTTTCCCTCTTTATTGTATGAATTGAATTTATTTTTTAATCTTTTTCCTTTTTGTCTTTTTTTCGTGTCCAGCAACAGGATCTTGTTCACAGTACTATTTTCCCTCTTTATTGTATGAATTGAATTTATTTTTTAATCTTTTTCCCTTTTGTCTTTTTTTCGTGTCCAGCAACAGGATCTCAACCCTTGGTGTCGCACCCGCACCTCGCTCAGCCAGTGAGCGGGAACCGGTCTGTATGTGGGATCCGAACCCTCGGCGGGAGCGCCATCGCACTCCCAAGCGGCGCACTGTAGCAGTGCGCCACCGGGCCGGCCCGTATGAATTGAATTTAAATGTGCTTTGCTTTTAATAATTTTAGTGAAACAGAAAATTATTTTAAATAATTGCTTCTAGCTGTAAATTATCTAGCTTTAAGATATGCTTAGAAATAGTCATTTAGCATAAGGGTAATCACCTCTTCTGAACCTTACTGTAATGCTCTATAATTTAAAATGATATGTTTCTGAGCATCCAAATGAATTGTAAAGGCATGTATTTTTAATTGCCTTTCCTTTGTTTTCAAGGATCTTTAGTCAATTAAACTGTTTTTAGCTATGCTTTCTAATGAGGCAGGAAATTAAAAAGTTCAGATACAAGCATACATAAACCAAACATACATATTCCATCTGCCAGGGCAAAACCACAGCAGTCATTCTAACAAATGAGACCAAGGCTTGGCTTCCTTGTAGAATGGGCTCATTAATATAATACAGACATTATTATTAGTGTGATCATAAACTACATTATTCAGAGAAGAAAGGGACATTCAAATGTCATCTAGCCCATGTCTGCCTTCTATTTGACAGATAGAATTGTAAATATTTTCAAAGACAGAAAATTATCTTTTCTTCCTAATGCTTATTCAAATATTTAATTGTCCATTTTCTTGGTATAACTTCAACTTATTTTGTTTTGTTACTTCATTATGGAAACAGTAGTTAATGAGTCATATATTTGATAATATAGTTACCTCTTAGCCTTCAGGTTAAATAACTTTTACTCACAGGTTTGGTAATTTGTTTCATAAATCACTTTCTGGTTTGATTATTCTGGGGCTTTTCCTTGTTTCTTAAACATGTAAACCAAAGACATAACACAGTTCTGTACTAAGGGGCAAGAATATCAGAAGAGTAATTTCTTATGATATCTTAATATTTTTTTCTAGTTCCATTTTAACTGTTAATTCAATAGCATCTTTTGGTAGATTCACATCAATTTTGTTGTTCATCATGATCCAAAGGTTGTTACTATTACATTTATCTCTGGGCCAATCTTTTACCACCTTTGTAAGCATGTTGCTTTGAAATGTTATTATGGGGAAAGATGGTGAATTGCACACATGCATCTGCTTTAACTACCTCCTGAATTCCTGCAAAATAATAGTAAGATGAGCAGGGGTGAGTGGAGCAGAGGTAAGCATTAGCTGTCATTGACACAGTCTCCTGTGAATCTGCTACAGAAAAGGGAGGCAGAAGGGGCTCCTTAACTGTAGCATGGACCTGTCCCTTGCTACTTAACTGTAACTGTTTTAACATGTGAAAATTAATCTTTGCTTTTAGAGAAAAAAGCTTTCTAAAAAAGGGAACTGTGACCTCAGAGCTCTATAATTTGTGAAAATGGAGTTTTTCTTTTTGGTAAATGGTGTTCAGAAGCCACAGAAAAGGTGTCTTCTAAGTGGAAAATTAAATGGACTGAATTGAAATGATCTTGGGACACATTAACTTAAGTGCTAAACAACTAAATTCTGGACTTCAGATACAATTTTATTTAGGAGAAGATAGCTTTGCTGGACTGGTGTCAATAGAGATAAAAAAGAGAGGGATATTGCATATGGAGTCTCAGAGTCTAGAAGTTTCAGGAAAAAAATTTTCTTTTGGGTCACTTTACAATATTGTCTTGAGGCTAAGAAATCAGTGGCTTCTAAGGAAGCATTGGCTCTTGGGGGGTGCAGCCACTCACGTAGGGCCTGGCCAGGCGGAAAGATACTCAGAGAGACAGTAGGAAAGATGGGGGTGAAGCCAGAGGAGACCTGGGGAAGACTCCACACCTGTCAGCTTCCAACTCTGAGAAAGGAAGCAGGGTCAGGAGCTCAGAAGAGCAGGACACAGACTTAGGGGAGCTGCTGGGAAAGTGCAGGCCAGGTGAGTCTGCCCTGAGACAGATGGAGAGTGGCCTGATTCTCTTGACCTCCCTCCTCAGGAGACTGACAGCCCTCCCTGGGAGTAGCTGCAGAATGGCATGGGAATGTGCAGTGTGGGGCTTCCCCAGGGGGAAGTAACAGCATCTCCTCTGCTGAATGCACGGGACAGGCTGCCAGGGGCCATGCCTCTATCCGGCATCCATTGGTCTTGCAAAATAAACACCTCCCACATCTCAACACATCATTTTTTTTTTTTCTGATGATGCCTGGTTATATGTCAGATATTCTTAATCAGCCTTCAAAAAGTTGAACTAATTAACTACTGAACTACTGAATGATTAAATATATCATTTTATGTAAAGCCTTTGAACTATTAACTATTGAACAATTAAATATATCGTTTTATGTAAAGCCTTTGAAGAAATTAAAGTTCAACATTAAAGCTGCCTGAGATAAAAAAATTATTAATGACACTAGAGCCCATGGAAATTAGGAGTTAAAGGAGAACTTTAGATGGTGACTCAAAAAATATATTTGCTGGCATCTCCCTTTTCATGCTTGTAGTCGACTACGGGCATGGATGCTGTCTGAGATGCTAGATGTCCTGGGCCCAGGATCGGCTTCATGGACATACTACCTGTGCAGTCACATAGGGCCCCATGCTCAGAAAGGCTCCATGCTTAATTTGATGCTCTACTATTGTTGTCTTAAAATTCTTAATGATCTTTGAACAAAGCACCTGCACTTTCATTTTGCCTTGGGCCCTGCAAATTTTGCAGCTGCCTATATATTCCTCAGTGTTCCCCTAGAGAGCTCACGATGTCTTGTTTTTCAGATAGTTGATGCTTGAGGGATGCTTATTGAGGTGAAATAAATGTTTGGATTGCAAAATTTAAAGCTTATTCCAAGATGCTGGATTCAAGGGTCAACAAAAGAAAATAAAGGAGATTTCTAAATTTAAGGGCAACCTTAAAATTACAAAGAGAAAACTAGTAGCCCCTAAAAGTAGACAATTGTATTAATAAACTGTCATTCAGAGCAAGGTAAAGATACTTAGTAGAGATCAAGGTGAATTGAAATCCATAGCATGAATTCACGACCTTAAAAAAAAAAACATTTTTTTTTCTGTTCTGTTACTGAAGAGATGAAAAGTCCCAGTGTTACTCTCTTCTATCTCCAGTGCTCATGTGAAACAAGATCATGTGCACCCAAGCACTGAGATTAATTATTATTTAAAATAATCAGGTCTCCTTGGAGAGTAGCTGATTCAATGTTTGCAGCAGAAAGATTCAAGATGGAATTGAAGCATCTTGTAATCCTATTCCTTACAAAATTCAATGGCCTATTTTTGGTTTATGGATGCTTTGCAAAGGAAGCAAAAAAGAGATTGTTGAATTTTATAAAGAATAATCTACCAGCTGAGAGAGTGCTCTTGATTTTAGCAAATCATTTGACAAAATCTCTTAATATCCTTTTAAATAGACAAAGAAATGTAGGGTGGATTTTAGGACAACTCTATGGATTGAGAGCTCACTAAACAATAGACTAATAGATGACTTACAAATGGGCAGAAGGAATCCACTGGTATTTCGAAAGGTCACATCCTTGACTCTTGATTTTTTCATTCAATATTTCTAACAACAACTAGAATGATGACATGCTTATAAAATTTAGAGACAACACAAAATTACAAGGGTCAGCCAACCTGCCCTACAAGAGACAATATTCCAAAAGCTATCTTTAGGTTGGTACAATGTATGGACACAAATAACTTGAAATTTAATAAGAAGCAGCATAAGATCACACACTTAAGTTTTAAAAATAAACACACAGTCCATAATGAGAAACACCTAATTTAAGAATGTTTATATAAGGAAGGAAGATCCAGGGTTGTTATTTGAAAACTCAAAATTAATCAACAGTATGATATAGCTGCTTAAAAAAAA